GCAATCCCCGGAGGACCCTCAGGGATCCCCCCGCCTGTTCCCATGGGAAGGGGCCATGCCGGGAGGCTGCGGGCGCTTCCCGGGCGCATTCCCTGCATCCCGGCGCTCCGGGCCGCCCTTCCCGGTGCCGGGGGCCTCTCCTTGCGGAGCCGCCGCTCCGATCCCGGCTCACGCATCCCGATCCTTGCAGGAGACCATGGAGGACATCGACAAGAACGGGGACGGCTTCATCGACCTGGAGGAGTACATCGGTGAGCCGGGAATGCCGGGAACGCCGGGAATGCCGCCGTCCCGACGGACGGGAGCGTCCGCTCCGGATCCGACGGGATCCCCGTGGGAACAGCCCTCATCTCCCGCGGGAAGCCGGGATGAGGGCTCCGGAACGCGGAGCGCAGGGGGGATCCCAAGGGAAGGGAGGAGGCTCCGAGCGGTGGATCCCAATCCCGGTCCCAAAGGGAAGGTACAGCCGGTGCCGGGCGGCTGTTGGAGCTACAGGCGGCGCCGGGTGTCCCCGCTCCAGGTGACATGTACAGCCACGACGGCGACACGGACGAGCCCGAGTGGGTGAAGACGGAGCGGGAGCAGTTTGTGGAATTCCGGGATAAGAACCGGGACGGCAAAATGGACCAGGAGGAGACCAAGGACTGGATCCTGCCCACGGATTACGACCACGCCGAGGCCGAGGCCCGGCACCTGGTCTACGAGTCCGACCAGGACAAGGTGCGGGATCGGGATCCGGGATCGGGATGCGGAATCGGGATCGGGATGCGGGATGCGGGATTGGGATGTGCAGTGCGGGATGTGGGGTGCGGGATGCGGGATGTGGGGTGTGGGGTGCGGGATGCGGGATACGGGATGCAGGATACGGGATGCGGGATACGAGGTGCGGAGTGCGGGATGTGGGATGCGGGATGTGGGATGTGGATGCGGGATGTGGGAATGCGGGATGTGGGATGGGGGATGTGGGATGTAGGATACGGGGTGCGGGATGAGGGATGCGGGATACGGCAATGCGGGATACAGGATGCGGGATGTGGGATGTGGGATGAGGGATGCAGGATACGGGAATGCGGGATATGGGATGCGGGATGTAGGGTGCGGGATGCGGGATGTGGGATGCGGGATGTGGGATGCGGGATGTGGGATGAGGGATGCGGGATACGGGATGCGGGATGTGGGATGTGGATGCAGGATGTGGTGTGCGGAATGAGGGATGCGGAATGAGGGATGCG